CGTTTTGTATTATATTGTCCTTTGATCTTTAAAAAGTTGCATCCAACTGCTAGGTCCAGCGGCTACTATATTCAAGACTTGTGGTGGATTATTACAAAGAAATGTTTGATGGAAGAAGTTTATCGCGTGTGTCAAGCTGTACTTTTGAGACCTGTTATCACTTATTTTGTTGGTTTTTTCAATGTAAAACTTTGTTGGCGTTAGAAATGGTTCTCGTTCACGCGTTTCCAGTTCATCGTCTTTGACCTTTCCCATTTTTTAACATTAATGTTTCTACCGTTGTCTTTGCACTCTTTCAGTGTCTCACATTTGTCTTTCTGTGTAGAATCCCTTATTATGGAAAATGTCCGATGGGAAAAAAATGCAGACAGGTCGAGAATCCGAACTCTAGCAGGCCTTGTTAACCAGCCAACTATCGTCAAGGACAACCAGGATCGGCCAAGAACACGTGCGTTAAGATTGAATAGGCTTCTATCGCCTTCTATCGCCAGCCGTATATCGTCTCTTGTCCGTGCATCCAAAACTACAACTAGCTAGCATTTAGAAATGGTGCAGCCATCATCTTCCGTCAAGTATGTTGAAAATTATGTAGAGCATAAATATACTGGGGACCGTTCCTTGTTTTAATAACAACAGTCTAATACAAACAAAAATTGCCTTTTGGAAATGGTTGAACCATGCCAAATTATACAAATGAATTATTGAAGATGGACGAAGTGTGATGAACGCATATGGATGTCTGGAATCTTGCACTTCGATATTTTAGAGAATTGGATTCCTTGTTGATCTCATCTAAAAGTTTGTTTGCTAAACTGCTGTTGGTGGGGTGTTGAAAACTTAGACCAGGTACCTGTGACGTTTAGCGAAGGCTGCCGATGAATAATACGAGCTGGAAATCCTCATGTCCCGGCTGCCTGCATTCCATATTTCCAGACTTTGTTGTGGATCATTTCAAGAAGGGAAGTTTGTCTGATCTTTATGAATCCAGTAAACACAGATGCAGCCTAACTTTCATAGTTGACCTAGATGCAAACCTAATTTGTTAACAATTTAAGAATGTGTCAGATCTTCTTTGAAATGCTCTGCTTTGAGTTTTAACTTACAATCAAGAGTCACACGTAACATAAAGGCGCTGAGCGATAATTATCTTATCCTTCTCTTTCACTAGAACCATAAGCTGGGTAATAACAATACAGTAACAGTAAGTATTCGATCCTGGAAGTCTCAAACACAATTTCATGTTATCTTTCGAGTTTTAGCCCAAGGGACACGTGATCCCTTTTGATTATGTCTTGGGCCTAGTTTCAAATTCCATGATGGGGCTCAAATATTTGAATAATTTTGGTGGTGATTGTGATATGGAACTCAAGACGCAAACATTTGAAAATTCCAGGCTGTATTGTTACTTTCATTAAAAAAAATGATTATCGATCTTTTGCTTGATCTGTTACATCAAAAATACAGGTGTGCATGTGAAAGAATTGCTCCTTTTTTTCATCTCCTCCCTTAAGTGTACATTTACTGTATGCAGCTGAGAAGTGAACTATAGGAGAAATCTCGAGAGTCCCACTTTCTGTCCATTTCTTTTGACATCTTCCTGCACTTGCTTTCTGAACTCGCCGAATGTGAACTTCTTATAAGGCGAAGCCTCTTCGCAACTCCCTATCATCGAGTCGTGTGATGGGCAGAGGAAATATGCGACGGAGTATCTCTCCGTCTTCGCATTGGCCATTACCTTGTGCTCGACACTCCTGTACACATCATTGCTCCACGCCTACACCAAATCAACATTCTTAGAGCATTAAAACAAGATAAGACAGAAGTAGGTTGTGTTAGTTTTCAAATGGATTCTTGAATTGTAGTTGTATGTTTGTTAGGCCTAAAGAAACTTATTGAGCCTAACTATCTAAGGATATGACTTCATGAAGATTTGGCTAATACTTGCCAGCCGCAAGGACTGACTCCATATTATTACTCTTTCTTTCTGTGTTATATAAGACAATGAAAATTACAACTATAACATGATTTTCAAAACAAAACAAAACAAAAAGTTCAAAAGCCCTCATTTATCATCATTGATGAAACCGTTAGTTTTCTAATTGATTTTGGTTCTTCAAACGTCTGGGCATACATCTGCATGCAGAACTCTACGCTAATGGAAAAACCATTAGAATTTTACTTTACTCAATAGGTAAGTTTTCCCCCTCTAAGATCTGTGGATCCTGAAGTAGATATTTTCCCTGACATGATGTAGTCAAGTGCAAACGTCTGCCCAGAAATTTGAACGACAAAACTCGGTAATAAAATTAACAGTTTCTTTAGTGGTCATAGATAGTTTCTTCTTCTTTTTTTTTTTTTTTTGAACTGGATGAGAGAGGGCTTCTTCAAAAAAAGATATAGATGTAGGGGTTTATTGTAACTTACCCTAAAAGAAATCAAGGAATTTCTATGGACCAGTTTTATCTGCAATCCTATTGCTTACTGTTTACAGTTGCGTACCTAACTGCAGGCTGAAAGAAAGGATACCTGAAAGAGATCTCCAATATTGACTATGAGAGCATCTGTGTTGGGTCTGACAGCAACCCATTTGGAATCCTTCATCAGCTGCAGACCACCAACCTGATCCTGATGGAGAATTGTGAGGAAGTCGCTATCGGTGTGAGGCACCAGACCAAATGTCTCCGGCAAGAATGGGCATGGAGGGTAATGGTTAAGCCGTAAAAAGCACGTGCTTTCGTCACAGTTCTCGGGAAAGCAGTCCCCTCGATATCCCAAGTTCTCTGCTAGTACACCCGCCAGAGTTCGAGCAAGATCAGACATGGAGCTTGCCAGCTCCTCCATCACCTCCCTAATAGAGTTTCAGTTAGTTGTACGAGCAATCATGAATTATGAAGTGTATTAGATAATATCACGGTTAAAAAAACAACAATCGCAGTAAATGAGTGCAGCAGAAATGAGAATGTTATGATGGAGGAGTGAGTACGTGCCAAGAGATAAGATGACAAACGGGTGTGTTCATAGGAAGTTAGAAGTTGCTCCTGAAGATAAAACCGAGTCATAAGATTGTGGCTTGTGTTAGTCATGTCAGAACTGGATGCAAGAGTAGAATTCATGTATCAGATCCCAAAAAAAATTTGAGATAAAAGGCTTCGTTAATTGTTGTTGTAGACAAGTGAAGTCCGGAAACGTTACCTGAGAGAATTGAATTCTTCATTGCAGCAATCCTCTTCAGCTAACTTAGCAAGAGGGACGTGAAAAGCTTCAGACCATGAGAAATGCTTCAACGAAGCTGCGGTCGGAGTCCCCCATCTATAAGATCCGTTCAAGATCCCGGAACTAGATTTCTTCTCAAATGGCAGCCGAAACAATCTCTTCTGTTCTCTCCTCATCTCTGCCAACACTTTCATACTAACTCCGTGGTTCGACACTTGGAAAAATCCCCACTCAGTTGAGGCCTTCGCAATCTCTTTAGCACAGTTAATTCTCCTGTCTTCATCTTCACTCCAGAGATTGCTTAAATCTATCATTGGTAGCTCGCATTCCCCTGTAGTTTCAGAGCTGCAGGATAGAGCAGAATCAGAGAGAAGTTTTCTGTATTGGTTTTCAAATGGTGGATCAAATTTGAGAGCCATTGGAAATAATTGAGCAAGTTAAAACCAATATTTGCAGAGACAGAGTACTTATATTGATGCATGCAGGCCTGAGGAGTGACCAGAGACCGACACTTGGCGCATGGGAGCTTGGGGGGCTCCTATGGCCACCTTTAAGGTTAAAGAAAGAATAGGAAAAATATAATTTCCTACCATCATTGTTTATTCTATTACCATCTATAGTTGTTACCTTGTATAATATAATTTCCAATTGATTGATATGAGGAGAATACAAGAGTATTTATAGATGGTAGTAGATTGTGCGCATGGGGGCTTGGGGGGCTCCTATGGCCACCTTTAAGGTTAAAGAAAGAATAGGAAAAATATAATTTCCTACCATCATTGTTTATTCTATTACCATCTATAGTTGTTACCTTGTATAATATAATTTCCAATTGATTGATATGAGGAGAATACAGGAGTATTTATAGATCTCACAGGTAGCGACATGTTAGGTTGTAATTACAAGTATGGTAAGTACGATACCGCTATACAAGGTAACAACTATAGATGGTAGTAGAATAATCAATGATGGTAGGAAATTATATTATACAAGGTAACAACTATAGATGGTAATAGAATAATCAATGATGGTAGGAAATTATATTATACAAGGTAACAACTATAGATGGTAATAGAATAATCAATGATGGTAGGAAATTATATTCTGTCATGTCCCCGCAAGATGGAGTGCTTGGAAGATAGTCCAATCTTGGTGCATAGGTTTGTAAACTGCGTGGATGGAAGGGGCTTTGTAAGCATATCAGCGAGTTGATCTTCGGAGCGGACATGAGAGACGCGGAGGATACCACGTTGAACATGTTGCCTGATGAAATGATAGTCAATAGCGACATGTTTCATTCAAGAGTGGAATACTGGGTTGATATAGAGTTGAGTGGCACCAACAGTGTCACAATAAATCACAGGTTGAAGGGGGGTGGTGATGCCTAGTTCTATAAGAAGCGAGAGGATCCATCTAGTTTCCACGGTCGTGGATGCCACTGATCTGTATTCGGCTTCGGTGGATGAGTGAGCAATAGTGCGTTGATTTTTGGAGCTCCAGGAGATAGCGTTGTAGCTCAAGAAAATGATGTACGGCTGGTGGATGAGAAATCATCCTTATCACTGGCCCAATCAGCGTCAGAGTAAGCATGAAGAGAGAGAGGACTCTGACGGCGAAGAAGAAGACCATGATCAATAGTCCCCTGGAGATAGCGAAGGACCCGTTTTGCAGCATTCAAGTGATCAGTGGTTGGAGCTTGCATGAACTGGGATAGTTTGTTGACAGCATAGGAGATGTCAGGACGGGTGAGAGAAAGATACTAGAGGCCGCCAATAATGCTGCGGTAGTCACGACCGTCCGAGAGTGGTACACTGTCGTCATGTCGGAGTGAGGTCGCCATCGCTAGGGGGTACGGACAGGACGGGACGCGGCCATCTTGGTCCATGTGAGAAGATCCAGAATATAGCGGCGCTGAGACAGAACAACACCAAGAGAATGCATGACAACTTCTACACCCAAAAAAGAAGTGAAGTGGACCAAGATCTTTGACGGAGAAACGACAACCAAGTAAGGCAATAATGGAGTCAACCTGGGCTAGATTATTACCAGTGATGACAATATCATCCACATAGACTAGAATAAAGAGAGTGGTACCTGCATCAGAGAAGATAAAAGAAACACATCTGCTTGAGAGTTATAAAATCCAAGAGAGAGCAAATAGTCACGCAGCTCGTGGTACCAAGCTCTTGGAGCCTACTTGAGGCCATAGAGAGCTTTTCGGAGAGAGCAAACATGGTCAGGGTGATCCTTATCAATAAACCCTGATGGTTGCATCATGAAAACCTAATCATGGAGAGTGCCTTGCAAGAAGGCGTTATTGACATCAAGCTGACGGAGAGGCTATTATTGGCTGACCGCAAGGGAGAGAACCAAGCGGATAGTGGTTGGTTTAATAACCAGATTGAATGTCTCGCTATAGTCCACCCCTGGCCGTTGATGAAAACCCTTAGCCACTAACCGGGCTTTGTACCTATCCACAGAACCGTCGGGTTTCCTTTTGATACGAAAGACCCACTTGCACCCTACAACATTTTGAGAAGGAGACGGGGGAACCAGTGTCCATGTTGCATTGCGAACAAGAGCCATAAATTCGTCAGATATGGTTTGTCTCCAAGAGGAATGAGAAAGAGCCTGTGACGCAATTGTCAGTTCGGTGTCAGAAAGAGGAGGAAGTTGGGCAGTGAGGGTAAGTTTTTGAATAAGCTTAGAGATATTATTCATTGATCGGGTGGTGATGGTACGAGGGAGAGGTGGGTCCTTAGGTGATAGGGGACTGGGGGTGGGGAGGGCTCGGGCAGAGGTGTTGGACCGGTAGAGGCAGCCTAAACAGAGATACATCTGCTAGAGAGTTATAAAATCCAAGAGAGAGCAAATAGTCACGCAGCTCGTGGTACCAAGCTCTTGGAGCCTACTTGAGGCCATAGAGAGCTTTTCGGAGAGAGCAAACATGGTCAGGGTGATCCTTATCAATAAACCCTGATGGTTGCATCATGAAAACCTAATCATGGAGAGTGCCTTGCAAGAAGGCGTTATTGACATCAAGCTGACGGAGAGGCTATTATTGGCTGACCGCAAGGGAGAGAACCAAGCGGATAGTGGTTGGTTTAATAACCAGATTGAATGTCTCGCTATAGTCCACCCCTGGCCGTTGATGAAAACCCTTAGCCACTAACCGGGCTTTGTACCTATCCACAGAACCGTCGGGTTTCCTTTTGATACGAAAGACCCACTTGCACCCTACAACATTTTGAGAAGGAGACGGGGGAACCAGTGTCCATGTTGCATTGCGAACAAGAGCCATAAATTCGTCAGATATGGTTTGTCTCCAAGAGGAATGAGAAAGAGCCTGTGACGCAATTGTCAGTTCGGTGTCAGAAAGAGGAGGAAGTTGGGCAGTGAGGGTAAGTTTTTGAATAAGCTTAGAGATATTATTCATTGATCGGGTGGTGATGGTACGAGGGAGAGGTGGGTCCTTAGGTGATAGGGGACTGGGGGTGGGGAGGGCTCGGGCAGAGGTGTTGGACCGGTAGAGGCAGCCTCGGGCAGACAGGTTGAACTGGGCAGAGTATGGGCCGCCGGACTGGGCAGTGGAGATACAGTGGTTAAGGCAGTGGGTTTAGACTTTATGATGGGGGTGACGGGTGTTGAGTATACGGGAGGTTGTTGGGGAACAAAGTGGTGAGGGATATCCCAAGAGGACGACAGGTCAGTAGGTGGGGTAGCACTTGTGGGGGTGGGGGTGATGACCGAGAGATGAACAGAAATAAGGACTCAATGAAGTTGACGTGACGGGAGATATAGACATAGCTTGTGGAGAGATTAAGACACAGATAGGCACTTTGAGTAATGGAGTACCCAATAAAAACACAAGGAGTGGAGTGGGTCTGTAGTTTGTGAGAGGTGTAAGGACGAGTCCATGGGTAGCATAGACAACCAAAGACCCGAAGTTTGGCATACTTTGGGGTGGTGGAGAAGAGACACTGAAACGGTGATTTCATGGAGAGGGTGGGCGTGGGAAGGCGGTTTATGAGATAGGTGGCAGCAGGTAGGGCATAGGACAAGTACGAGAGGGGCATTGAGGCATGGTGTAAGAGTGTAAGGCTAGTAGTCTCTACAATATGACGGTGTTTTCGTTCGGAGATGTCGTTATGTTTAGGGGTATGTGGCGGGGAGGAGAAGGTGAGATATGCCAATGGAGGTGAGGTACGGTGTAAGTGCTTTGTATTCACCTCCGTTGTCGGAGTAGAGAGTTCGAATGGTCGTGGAAAATTGTTTTTCCACCAATGCCCGGAATGAAAGAAACGTCTGATGGACATGGCCTTTCTGTTTTAGCGGATATAGCCAGGAGTAACCTGTGAAGTGGTCAATAAAAACAACATAATATTTAAAACCATCCACAGATAAGACAGGAGATGTCCAAACATCAGAATAAATATATGTAAGGGATGGGAGGAGACAACAGTAGAAACAGAGAAAGGTAGTTTGTGCATTGTTATTGCCCTGACAGGCATTACAATTTGATAAGGATAATGCAGCACCAGTAGTGTCTAAATTAAACTGAGTTAAAACTTTATTGAGAATTTGACTGGAAGGATGCACGCGCCGCCCATGCCAGTCAGACAGAGAGGCTTTGACACTCGAGAATGCCAAGAGAGGGGAGGTGGCGGATGACGCAGAGATAGGAGACGACTAGTGATAAATGCTATTTTTAGATTGCCCCCGGAAGAGAATTCCCCCCATACATTGATCCTTAACATGAAAACAGGTGGGTGAGAATTCAATAGTGGCTTTATTAGATTGACAAAATTGAGAAATAGAAACTAGGTTTTGACGAATTGATGGGACACATAGTATATTGTGAAGAGAAAAGGTGCGAGACAGGGTAGAGAGTTTACCAGAACCAACATGAATGATAGACATCCCATTCCCATTGACAATGATGACTTCATCCGAGCCATTGTAGGGTGCACGCGGTGAGAGGTTCTGAAGGTCTGAGGTTATGTGGTGACTCGCCCTGCTGTCCATAATCCACTGTTGCGGACTAGGAATGGTGGCCGAGAAGTTGGCCCTCGGCTGGTAGACCGAGGGGCTAGACCACGCCGAGTCCAAGATCACAACTTTGCCTAAAAGGCGTTGTACAGACTTATATCTTATTTGAATATGTCTGTTATGTTTTTTATTTACATGTACTTGCTTTAGAAGCTCTATGGTAGATCTAGAATCAGAGTGAATGGAAATATGAGGAGAGGGTTTAGGAACCAAAGGAAGTTCAATGAGAAGATCTTTTAACCATTCGGCTTCTGTGCAAGTAGTATCAAGAGCAATCAGCTCAGATTCCATGATGCTCCTGGCAATTATTGTTTGCTTACATGATTTCCAGGATACAGCAGCACCACCAAAAAGAAATACATAGCCGCCGTGAGAATGGGTTTTGGCAGTGTTGGTCGTGGCTGGAAGAGGAAGAAGGCCTGGTTGGGTGGCTTGAGTCTCAAGTTCTCGATTGAGGAGCTTTTCATGCAGTTCATCAAACGAGACAGCAGCTTCACGGTATTTAACATTATCAACAATACATTTGTATCCTTCATCAAGGCCATCGCAAATGGCGTCAATGAAGT